AGGTCAAAGAAGTAACTCGCATACTATCACTGATGATATTTCCATTGGATAATTAAAGACCTTCACATGTGACAAAAGAGAAATAGAAGGATATTTTCCTTCATCAACAGTACATATACAATATTTTGAAAAGAATATATCAGTATGATGAAGAACAAACTAATCATCTCAGTCACTATTCTAGTCATTCGCTCATGAAATGACTTGTAAATAGTTTCAATCCCAAAGTGCACCGTCAGTGTGGCGTGGAGTCTGACATAGTGATGTCAATCCCAAAAATATGTCCATGACTGCCACCCATGACACCAGGGAGTCCTGATGACTCCTTAATTTTTATGCCTAGGGCTAACACTGATCCCCAGCCACCTCTCTGATAGCTGGACACTCCACTCTGATATCCACCCCTCCCATCAGTGTCAAGGTCTGATAGCTCTACACTCCACTCTGATGTCCACCCATCCCTTCAGTGTCAAGGTCTGATAGATGTCCACCCCTCCCTTTGTCTCTACACACCGCTCTGATGTCCACCCCTCCCTTTTGTGTCAAGGTCTGATAGCTCTACACACCACTCTGATGTCCACCCTTCCCTTCAGTGTCAAGGTCTGATAGCTCTACTCTACCACTCTGATGTCCACCCCTCCCTTCTGTGTCAAGGTCTGATAGCTCTACACACTCCACTCTGATGTCCACCCATCCCTTCTGTGTCAAGGTCTGATAGATCCACACTTCACTCTGATGTCCACCCATGTTCCCTTCAGTGTCAAGGTCTGATAGCTGTCAAGGTCTGATAGCTGTACTCCACTCCACTCTGATGTCCTCGCTCCCTCCCTTCAGTGTCAAAGGTCTGATAGCTGTAATCTCCACTCTGATGTCCAAGGTCTGATAGCTCTACTCTTTCCACTCTGATGTCCACCCATCCCTTCAGTGTCAAGGTCTGATAGCTGTACACACCTCTCTGATGTCCACTTCTGTGTCAAGGTCTTAGCTCCCTTCTGTGTTCACCCTTCCCTTCTGTGTCAAGGTCTGATCTGAGCTGTGTCAAGGTCTGATAGCTCCTCCACTCTGATGTCCACCCATCCCTTCAGTGTCAAGGTCTGATAACTCTCCACTCATGATGTCCACCCATCCCTCCCTTCAGTGTCAAGGTCTGATGGCTGTAAACTCTTCCACCCCTCCCTTCTGAGGTCTGATGTCCACCCATCCCTTCTGTGTCAAGGTCTGATAGCTCTACTCTCCACTCTGATGTCCACCCCTCCCTTCTGTGTCAAGGTCTGATAGCTCTACACACCGCTCTGATGTCCACCCATCCTTCTAGTGTCAAGTCTGTCAAGGTCTGATAGCTGTAAACTCCTCTCCTCTCTGATGTCCACCCCTCCCTTCTGTGTCAAGGTCTGATAGCTCTGATGTCCTACTCTGTGTCAAGGTCTGATAGCTCCACTCCACCCATCCCTTGATGTCCACCCCCCATCCCTTCAGTGTCAAGGTCAGTGTCAGGTCTGATATAGCTGATGTCAAGGTCTGATAGCTCTACTCTCCTCTCTCACTCTGATGTCCACCCATCCCTTCAGTGTCAAGGTCTGATAGCTGTCCAAACTTCACTCTGATGTCCTGTAAACTCACTCCCTCCCTTCTGTGTGTCAAGGTCTGATAGCTCTACTCTCCACTCTGATGTCCACCCCAGTGTCCTGATAGCTTCTGATGTCAAGGTCTGATAGCTCTGATAGCTCTGATGTCCACCCCCTCCCTTCTGTGTCAAGGTCTGATAGCTCCACTCTGATGATGTCTGTGTCAAGGTCTGATAGCTTCACTTCTGATGTCTGTGTCAGTGTCAAGGTCTGATAGCTCTACTCTCCACTATGATGTCCACCCATCCCTTCTGTGTCAAGGCATGATAGATCCACTTCTCCAGGTCTGCTCTGATGTCCACCCATCCCTTCTGTGTCAAGGTCTGATAGCTCTACACTCCACTCTGATGTCCACCCATCCCTTCTGTGTCAAGGTCTGATAGCTCTACTCTCCACTCTGATGTCCACCCCTCCCTTCTGTGTCAAGGTCTGATAGATCCACACTCCACTCTGATGTCCACCCTTCCCTTCTGTGTCAAGGTCTGATAGATCCACACTCCACTCTGATGTCCACCCATCCCTTCTGTGTCCAGGTCTGATAGCTCTACTCTCCACTCTGATGTCCACCCTCCCTTCTGTGTCCAGGTCTGATAGATCCACACTCCACTCTGATGTCCACCCTTCCCTTCTGTGTCAAGGTCTGATAGCTCTACACATCAGCACATCCCTTCATATATGTCAAGTCTTGACTCTGACACTGCAGTGAGCGAGCTTGGTGAGTCTGCCTTGTCTTGTCATATGGACAGGATGATGATTCATAATACAGCTTTGTTTTGATTACCATCATCCTCTGACTACTTTCCACGGGACTGGCTAGCTCAGCTTAACTGGTCCTGGACAAGTTCATAAGACAATTTTCAGCAACTGGGAGTCAAAATACTTTCATGTAATGATGCCATTATTGCTACTGTCCACAAAGAGATTTGTTAGCCTCCTATGACAATGAGCTGAGAATCAGTATTGTGACAGTTTCCATTCTGCATGTGCTTCTAGTACTAATCAGTAGTTCAGTTCCAATGCTAAAATATTTATCAACTAAATAAGAGGCTTCAGTAGTGACAAGTGTTTGTCAGTGATGGCTGAGGTTAACAAAGCAAGGTTGAGGTGCTGTCATGGTTATCTCTGTGGATAAGTGATGGCTTGGGATGCCTAGTACAGTGACGTGTATGTGCAGGTGTTGTCACCATTATCTTGTCTACGTCATTGTGGGGGCTGTCAGGTCAAATACAACTGACTGCTAACCTCCAAATGGGTGTGTCCTTTTGTGTGACCATACTATAGCTATCAGTATCTTAACTTGTAATAATGTTCAAAGGCCATTAAGCTGAATGTAATCCAGTGGTTATCAAATGACAACTGATGGCATAAAGTATGCAGCTTTCAATACATGTTTGTCTGTAGGGAGAAAGATAAGAGAAGAGGGTAGTGGTGTGTATATATCGAGCTGACATGCCTCTCTGGGAGAGAGGTGTGAGGAAAGGGTAGTGGTGTGTATATAGAGAGCTGACATGCCTGTCTGGGAGATAGGTGTGAGGAAAGGGTAGTGGTGTATATATAGAGAGCTGACATACCTGTCTGGGAGATAGGTGTGAGGAAAGGGTAGTGGTGTGTATATGGAGAGCTGACATGCCTATCTGGGAGATAGATGACAGGAAAGGGTAGTGGTGTATATAGGGAGAGCTGACATGCCTGTTTTGGAGATAGGTGTGAGGAAAGGGTAGCGGTGTAAATATAGAGAGAGCTGACATGCCTGCCTGTTAGATAGGTGTGAGGAAAGGGTAGTGGTGTGTATATATAGAGAGCTGACATGCCTATCTGGGAGATAGGTGACAGGAAAGGATATTGGTGTATATAGGGAGAGCTGACATGCCTGTCTGGGAGATAGGTGTGAGGAAAGGGTAGTGGTGTATATAGAGAGAGCTGACATGCCTCTCTGGGAGATAGGTGTGAGGAAAGGGTAGTGGTGTATATATATAGAGAGCTGACATGTCTGTCTGGGAGATAGGTGTGAGGAAAGGGTAGTGGTGTATATATATATAGAGCTGACATGCCTGTCTGGGAGATAGGTGAGAGGAAAGGGTACCGGTGTATATATAGAGAGCTGACCTGCCTGTCTGGGAGATAGGTGTGAGGAAAGGGTAGTGGTGTATATATATAGAGAGCTGACATGCCTGTCTGGGAGATAGGTGTGAGGAAAGGGTAGTGGTGTATATATAGAGAGAGCTGACATGCCTGTCTGGGAGATAGGTGTGAGGAAAGGGTAGTGGTGTATATATAGAGAGCTGACATGCCTGTCTGGGAGTTAGGTGTGAGGAAAGGGTAGTGGTGTATATAGGGAGAGCTGACATGTCTGTCTGAGAGATAGGTGTGAGGAAAGGGTAGTGGTGTATATATAGAGAGCTGACATGCCTGTCTGGGCGATAGGTGTGAGGAAAGGGTAGTGGTGTATATATATAGAGAGCTGACATGCCTATCTGGGAGATAGGTGTGAGGAAAGGGTAATGGTGTATATATATAGAGAGCTGACATGCCTGTTTTGGAGATAGGTGTGAGGAAAGGGTAGTGGTGTATATATAGAGAGAGCTGACATGCCTATCTGGGAGATAGGTGTGAGGAAAGGGTAGTGGTGTATATATAGAGAGCTGACATGTCTGTCTGGGAGATAGGTGTGAGGAAAGGGTAGTGGTGTATATATAGAGAGAGCTGACATGCCTGTTTTGGAGATAGGTGTGAGGAAAGGGTAGTGGTGTATATATAGAGAGAGCTGACATGCCTGTCTGGGAGATAGGTGTGAGGAAAGGGTAGTGGTGTATATATAGAGAGAGCTGACATGCCTATCTGGGAGATAGGTGTGAGGAAAGGGTAGTGGTGTATATATAGAGAGCTGACATGTCTGTCTGGGAGATAGGTGTGAGGAAAGGGTAGTGGTGTATATATAGAGAGCTGACATGTCTGTCTGGGAGATAGGTGTGAGGAAAGGGTAGTGGTGTATATAGGGAGAGCTGACATGCCTGTCTGGGAGATAGGTGTGAGGAAAGGGTAGTGGTGTATATATAGAGAGCTGACATGTCTGTCTGGGAGATAGGTGTGAGGAAAGGGTAGTGGTGTATATAGAGAGCTGACATGCCTGTCTGGGAGATAGGTGTGAGGAAAGGGTATTGGTGTACATAGGGAGAGCTGACATGCCTGTCTGGGAGATAGGTGTGAGGAAAGGGTAGTGGTGTATATAGAGAGCTGCCATGCAATGTAGGGCCATGCAATGTTCCTTGTTGGGTGTAAATATCTTGTAAGCATGCATGATTAGTTATTAGTACAAGCTCTACTTCAAACATCATAAGTGAATACATCTAACAAAACTGATTGTGTTTGTTTCAGACATTTGATTTTGACCTGCGAGGTGTGGGATTGACTGGAAGTGAGGAAATTATCATCACAGTCAAAGATTGGGAGAGAGTGGGAAGAAACAGGTAAGACATTAGTAACAGATGGTATGGGAGACAGTTGTGGTACACTCACAGATCTGACATGCCTGACTGTGGGAGGCAGTTGTGGTGCACTCACAGATCTGACATGCCTGACTGCGCGAAGCGGGGGATTTAGTACAGTAGAACACGGATATAACGAACTCCAAGGGACCAAGAAATTTAGTTCGCTATATCCGGTGTTCGTTATTCACATTTGACCGCCATCTTGGATTGTAGAGATGTAGAGACACGTATATGCTGAGGCTACAAATCTTTATTCTTATACATGTATATTGACATAACATTAAAATTCTGAATTTATCATTCACAGACATTAGCTAGAATATGTTTAACAATCACAACAATCTCAACAATATGTTGATTCGCCGCCAACAAGGTTGATGTATACCGCTAAGTGGCTGAGCTGACACTGAGTGAGTTCGCTAATCACGTCGTTAATTGGGCTTGGGGGTAGTAAATCAGTTCGCTATAGAAAATTTCATGTACAGACAACACTGGTAGGTGAATAAAAATGATAAATATGGTATGTAGTATATTTTGTATATTCTAAAAGGTTTGGTGTGTTCATGGTATATACACTAGTTGTGCTCAAATGCTACCTCCCTGTGCTGGGTGTATTGCTGTATCCTAGGTGTGTTTCCATCGACTGCGTATAAGTCATAACAATCAGTATTATGCCTGTACTCCATAACAGGCTGTCAATCCCGCGACCAACAGGGACCTACAACATAAGAGTTATCAAAGTTTAATGCAGGTATTGTGATGAACTGTTCCCAGGAGCATTACTTCCCAAGTGTTCCACTTTTACCCTAATGAAACAGTGACTCCCTGTTCCACAGCAGAAGCTGTAGCAGCAAGACACCTTGGTGGAACACTCAGTGTTTAATATTACATGACTCTCCGTTTACAACTGGTAACTGTCAAGACATTGAGAGCTTGATTAATTGTTGCAGTGTTGGACATAGTTTTTTTTAACAATAACAGTTTTTCCTGAATGGTTTATGTTATTGTTGATCTGATTGTTGATCGTTACATGGAGCTGATTCTGAAGATTGACCTTGTGTGTGAGATAAGAACCTTGCCTGAAAAGGCCTGCTGCACAGAGCAGTCATAGTTCTCAGGAAAAAAAATATTGATAACTTTTTGAGTACATTGTTAAGTTCTGATGTTGGCTTGCTTTGAAAATGAATGTCAGTAGATTTGTGTCATTGGACTTAGGGCACCTGAGTTTGTTATGCCTTATCTCATAATGTTCTTGCATACATAAGATATATTTTCATGATCAACATTACACATCTTGCAAAACATGACAAACTTATTAATGTCCACAAGTTGTCACTTCATAATGAAGCATACAATTCTAGATCAAGAATTTAAAAATAATTGTTGTATATGAATGATGCTGTTCTTGAGATGCAAATACAGCTTTGGTGCCAGTGATGTTTAATCTTACTGTAACTGTTGTCACATTTTTTGCATACCCGTGAAGAGCTGGGTTAGAATTGGTCTTCAGTAACACATGCTTGTCATAAGAGGCGACTAACGGGAGCGGATGGTCAGGCTCGCTGACTTGGATGACACATCATATCCCAATTGCGTAGGGGGCGGTGGGGTAGCCTAGTGGTTAAAGCGTTGGCTCGTCACGCCGAAGGCCCCGGTTCGATTCCCCACATCGGCACAATGTGTTAAGCCCATTTCTGGTGTCCCCCGCCGTGATATTGCTGGAATATTGCTAAAACCGGCGTAAAACTAAACTCAGTCAGTCAGTCAGCCAATTGCGTAGATTGATGCTCATGCTGTTGAACACTGGATTGTCCAGACACGATTATTTACAGACCGCCACCATAAAGCTGGAATATTGCTGAGTGCGGCATAAAACTAAACTCGCTCAATCACTGCGATGACTGTGTATGTTTCATTATGTGATGACTAAATTATTCCATTTTCTGTGCTGTAGGCTGATAGAATACTAGTATGTTCCATATCATAACCATGATTTTTCTCCAGGTTGTTCAGGTTAAGTACATGTATTACTTTTCTGTAGGGGCGGTGGGGTAGCCTAGTGGTTAAAGCGTTCGCTCGTCACGCCCAATGCTTGGGTTCGATTCCCCACGTAGGTACAATGTGTGAAGCCCATTTCTGGTGTCCCCCACTGTGATGTTGCTGGAATATTGCTAAAAGCGGCGTAAAACCATATTCGCTCACTTACCTGTAAACTCCCACGAATGACCTGTAATGATAGAGCAAGGACTCAGTAAGATCATACTATGCATGAGGTTACCAAGACTTGTCACACATTGCAACACACCTTCAACAGCAGGTGTCATGAAAATGCAAGTGTAGTATTTCTAGGATCATTATCATTTCATATTCAGATGTAAATGTGGCCACAGAATCTGTCGTGCCTTGTACAGACTCAATCATTGTCAGTAATCTTGTATGCATGGAGTATGCAGTGATGGCCGGCTGGGAGGCTACTGGATGTTCCACTGGTAGTTAAGTCACTACTTTCCATTATATGGAAATATCACCATCTGCAATAAGTGAAGCCAGACAGTTAAAACTCACAGTTAAAACTCACAAGTTCTGTGCTTCAAACACAGCACTCCTTGAGGTAGGTGTGAGAGTAAATATATGGTCAATATTGATTGATCATGGCATGTATATTACACTATGCATGCACTGTTTTGGGTAGGTGTACCAACTTTGAGTTCCATCATGCTGAAGTACTATGTTTTTTAAGGACATCATGATGACGTATTGTCTGTGAGATCTGTCTTGTGAAGGTCATATGTTGTATATGAAGGCCATTGTGTTGAAGTATATTCTGGAAGTAAGATCTATCATATGGACATCAGGCATTATGCTTCTAAGGCATTTGGCAGCGTATTTTAAGATTTATGATGAAATGTCACACACGTGTACCTTGTATTTAGAAAAAACCCAACAGAATTCCCTCATAAAACTTTCAACTCACTGAAGTGCAGTTTTAGCTGTGATTCACGAGAATTGCTACTCCTATGACTGGTAGTCTGTGCATAGTTTCATGAAAAATGTATTGCAGTGCAGTTAGGAAATAAACCTATGTGTTTTTAAATCTGATGTAGTCTGACTGAAATTAGATACCTCTAATTTAATTTTGGAACAAAACACTCAAAAAAAGGGATTTCGAGCATAAAATGGGACTGCATCCAATATTTGTGTGTGTGGGATCATTATGGTTCTTTCACGTGATGTAGGGAGAATTTCTTGGGTGCAAAACACAACACTCAGTCCTTGGTTTTTCATGGATGTGTAAATGCATAATATGAAATACACGACTCAGTTGAAATCATTGATTTGTCTTACAAGGTCAAATGAAAATCACAGAATGCCGAGTAAACAATTACCGGTAATAAGAAACTGCCAGCATTTCTAGAGAACACTTTAAAGAAGACTACATTATATTTAACTCCCAGACAAAATTTCTATCATTTTAGTTCAATGTTGCCTAGTAACTTTGTGGAGTGATCCTTGCTGGTAGTGACATGTATGGCAGCTGCAGGATATTGTCTGTTTCACTGCATGCTGGAATATTGCTAAAAGCGGCTTAAAATTAAACCCGCTCACTCACTCACAAATTGAGGTAAAATGGAAATGTATGGATCATGAAACATTATGTAAAGTGATAAATATTATAAATAGTGAAACCTAGTTCAGAAAAGACAGAATGTATGAAGAGAGAAGAATGTACAAAGTTACTATCTGTTACAAGTACCCTAATCTAATAATCCAATATAGGTACTAATTGAAGATTCAGAAATAATGAAGTCATAAAAATGCTTTCAAAAGTGTTCCTGATCTACTTTTTTTTCGGAATACATGCCCAAACTTCTGACATAGTCATAACTCATTGACCTATCCATGTAGACTATTGCGGGGGATATTGATGACTTTGTCATTTTGTATATGTATTATACCTCATCTCACCATTCCTGGAGATTGAGAATCAGGGTTTGGATGCCGACACATTACTCGTAAATATTTAATTTCTAATGCTAACAGAAACTCTTGATAAGTGTGTTAGTTCCCAGAAATTTTCTGCCATTCAACTTCATAACTTTCTGAAGTCATCTTCAGCTGATGGTTTTGTAAACCTGACAATGGACACCATTTGCTTCTCTTTTCAGATGGTATTGAAATTTGAAATATGTTTGTTTTTCACCACTATGAAAATTGTGTCATGTACAACATTTAACAAAGTAGGATCAAGATTGGAACAGCATTTCTCTGACACAGCAGCACACAAGCTTTCCTTTTTCTTCTCCCATTCCCCTCCTCCTCTCCCCCTTTTCTTCTTACTCTCCCTCCTCCTCCTCTCCCCCTTCCCCCTCTCTCCCCTTCCCCTCTCCCCCCTTCCCCTCTCTCCTTTTTCTCTTTTCCTCCTCCCTCTCTCTCCTTTTTCTATCTTTTTCCCTCCTTCCCCCTCGCTCTCCTCCTTTTTTCTCTTTTCCTCCTTCTCCCTCTCTCCTCCTTTTCTCATTTCCTACTTCCCCCCTCTCTCCTTTTTTTCTCTTTTCTTCCCCTCTCTCCTTTTTCTCTTCCTCCTTCCTAATCTCTTTTTTTCTCTTTTCGTCCTTCCCCTCTCTCTCCTCCTTTTTCTCTTTTCTTCCTTCCCCCTATCTCTCTCCTCTTCTTTTTTCTTCCTTCTCCCTCTCTTTCTCTTCCTTTTTCTCTTTTCCTCCTTCCCCTCTCTCTCCTCTTCTTCTCTCTATCCTTTTTTCTCTTTTCCTCCTTCCCCCTCTCACCTCCTCTTTTCTCATTTCCTACTTCCCCCCTCTCTCCTCCTTTTTTTTCTCTTCTCTTCCCCTCTCATCCTTTTTCTCTTCCTCCTTCCTAATCTCTCTTTTTTCTCTTTTCGCCCTTCTCTCTCTCTCCTCCTTTTTCTCTTTTCCTCCTTCCCCTCTTTCTCTCCTCTTCTCTTTTCTTCCTTCTCCCTCTTT